CTGAGCCGAAGGCAGACACTTAGCCCACTGAGCCACCCAGGCGCCCCTAATATACATTTCCCAGTGGTTAATAGACATAATACATTTTGTGTTCCTAAATTAAGAGTGGCTTTCTGTTTGTTTTACCTCATTCAGATTGCTTTCTTATGATAGGGTTTATGTTTATCAGCAATAGAGTCTAATTGTCACTCTCATACATGACTTACTACCCCCTTCTCTTTTTAATAGTCTCTACCTCATTCTTAGAAAAAAAGTTTCCTTTTTTTTAAACTTCCATCTTTACAGAATATGATTCCTCTAACTGTAGGATCTCATTGTCACCATCCCTTTCCCCTCTCATATCTTAAACCTCCCTTGTCACTTTTCTCTTGCTTTCAAACATACTAGATTGAGTGCAGTCCCTATTAAAATTTCAATGGCATTTTTCACAGAAATAGAAAAAAATAGTGCTAAAATTTATATGGCACCATAAAAGACCTCAAATAGTCAAAGCTGTTCTGCGAAAGAAGAATAAAGTCAGAGTCACTGCACTTCCTGATTTCAAATTGTATTACAAAGCTACTGTAATTAAAGCAATATGGTGCTGGCATAAAGGCAAACATATAAACCAATGGAACAGAATAGAGAACGCAGAAACTCCTGCATATACAGTGAACTAATTTTTGACAAGGGTGTCAAGAATACACAATGAGGAAAGGATAGTCTCTTTAATAAATGGTGCTGGGAAAATGGGTGTCCACATGCAAAAGAATGAAAGTAGACCCCTGTCTTACACCACTCACAAAAATGAACTCAAAATAGATTGAAGACTTAAATATAAGTCACTAAATCATAAAATTCCTGGAAGAAGACATAGGGGAAAAGCTCCTTGACATTAGTCTTGGCAGTGATTTCTTTGATAAGGCACCAAGAGCTCAGGCAACAAAAGCAAAAAACAAGTGGGACTATATCAAACTAAAAAGATTCTGCACAGTAAAGGAAATAATAAATTGAAAAGGCAATTTAAGAATAGGAGAAAATATTTGCAAGCTCAGTAGCAAAAAAAAAAAAAAAATCTTTAATGGGCAAAGGACCTGAATAGAATTTCTCTAAAGAAGACACATAAATGGGCCATTAGGTATATGAAAAGATGCTTGATGTCAATAATCATCAGAGAAATGCAAATTAAACAACAATTAGATATTATCTCACACCTGTTAGGATGGCCATTATTAAAAAAAAAAATAACTCAGGATATGGAGAAAAGGGAACCCTTGTACACTGTTGGTTAGAATGTAAATGGGCACAGTCATTATGGAAAACAGTATGGAAGTTCTTCAAAAAATTAAGAATAGGGGGTGCTTGGCTGCCTCAGTTGGTAGAGCATTGCAGCTCTTGATCTCAGGAGTTATGAGTTTGGGCCCCACATCGGGCACACAGATTACTTTAAAAAATTAAAAATAGAACTACCCATATGACCCAGCAATCCCACCTCTGGGTATTGAAAATCAGGAATTGAAATCAGGATCTGGAAGAGGTACCTGCACTCCTATGTTCAGTGAAGCATTATTCCCAATAGCTCAGATATGGAAACAACCTAAATGTCCATCAACAGATTAATAGACAAAGAAAATGCAGTACATACACACAATGGAATATTATTCAGCCTTAAAAAAAAAATCTGCCATTAACAGTAACATAGATGGACCTGGAGCACATTATGTTAAGTGAAATAAGCCAGACACACAAAGACAAATGCTGGTGGTCTCACTTAAATGTGTAATCTAAAATAGACTCATAGAAGCGGGGTGTAGAAATGGAATATTATGCAGCCATCAAAAGGAATGAGATCTTGCCATTTGCAACGACGTGGATGGAACTGGAGGGTGTTATGCTGAGTGAAATAAGTCAATCAGAGAAAGACATGTATCACATGACCTCACTGATATGAGGAATTCTTAATCTCAGGAAACAAACTGAGTGTTACTGGAGTGGTTGGGGGTGGGAGGGATGGGATGGCTGGGTGATAGACATTGGGGAGGGTATGTGCTACGGTGAGCGCTGTGAATTGTGCAAGACTGTTGAATCACAGATCTGTACTTCTGAAACAAATAACGCAACATATTTTAAGAAAAAAGGAAAAGAAGAAGATAACAGGAGAGGAAGAAAAGGGGAGTATGTCAGAGGGGGAGACGAACCATGAGAGATGATGGACTCTGAAAAACTGAGGGTTCTAGAAGGTAGGGGGGTGGGGGGATGGGTTAGCCTGGTGATGGGTATTGAGGAGGGCACGTTTTGCATGGTGCACTGGGTGTTATGAACAAACAATGAATCATGGAACACTGCATCAAAAACTAATGATGTAATATATGGTGATTAACATAACAATAAAAAAAATTAAAAAAAAAGCGGGGTGTAGAATGGTCATGAGGGACTGAGTGGGGGGCAGGGGAATAGGGAGTTGTCAGTCAAGGGGTACAAAGTTTCAGTTATGTAAGATGAGTAATTTCTAGAGATATATGGCATAGTGACTATAGATAACCATAACGCACTGTATACTTGAAATTCTTAACACATACACACGTGCACACATTATGTGAAAGTGATGCATGTGTTAATTGGCTTAATTATAACAATTATTTCACAGTGTATATGTATATCACATCATCACATTTTATACCTTAGGTATACAGAATTTTAAAAATACCTAGAAGCGTTCTATTGTTTTCTACATCTTGTACAAACTACCATTCCCTTCTTTTGATCCATTATCCAATTTTTAAAACACTTGTCTGGGATCACTGCCTCCATTTCTTTACCTTCTTATTCTCTGCTTAAATGTATCCAGTTTGTTTTTACCACTTAAAATTTCCTTCTCAGAGATCAACAACAACCTAGCCACCTCCTACAGCTTTTCTTTGCAACATCTGGCATCATTAACCACTCTCTACATATACTTTAAATGTTTTATTTTGGACAAAATACTATCCAAGTTTGCCTCTTAATATTCTCATAGCTCCATTCACCTTAGTTGTCTCCTCTTCTTCCTTCCTGTTGTAGATGTTTGATAAGACTGTCTTTTGTCTCTGGCTTTTATTCCTGTACTCCATTTTCTTGTCATTTCAGCTCTTATTTTTACCATGTGACCCCCCCAAATCTTTCTCACACCTGAACTTCATACAAAATCTCACACTTCTGTAGGGAACATTTTCTTTTCAAATCATAGGTGTTTGGGAAAGTTTATATAATAGCTTATAAAAAGAATGGCTTTTATATTTGTTTTTTAAATACAACATTTGTTTTATAATGCACTAAAGCATTATCTTCTTTCAGAGTTTAAGAGGCTAAATAAAATTTAACCAAAAACTGAATTTGGCCTGAGAGCTAGGGATTTCCTTCTTAGTATTTACTCAAGTACTCTGGGAGGAAACCTTACTGGTTATTCATTTCTTATTTCTTACAGGAGCTATTCAATTAAGTTTTCTCTCTCGTGTTTTTCTTCCATTTGAAATCTTTTCCTTGTGCTTTTTATAGCCTTTACCTGAGGAAATGTTATTCCCAATAGATAATGTATGTACCATAACAACGCTAGTATCCTTTTTACTAGAATTTAGGAAAATAATTTTTGAACTCAATATTAATATCCTCCTAAGGTAGTGATTGTCATTTATAGACACTAAGATATAACTCTTCTTTGCCTTCTTCTCTGGCCTTTATCCCTGAGAAGATTGCCTTTATAGCATGTTCAGATGTCATTTTTCTACTTTTTGAAACTAAACAACATGGTAACAATACAAAAATCTTAAGTGTCTTTTAACATAAATTCAGGGAGGCATTCCTAAAGAATACCTCCCATTTAATTTTAATCTTCTCCAATAAAGATACAGTATTCATTCAACATCTCTGATATACTGCTCAGGAATTCTGTTAAGCATTTCTATATGCCAGGCATAGTGCTAAACAGCTGTAAAGGCTGGGAAGAGTGGTGAGTAAAGCCCTCATATATACAAAGGGTTAGGTGTTACGATACAGAACACACTACCCATCCTTTTCCATTCCACAAGTATTTATGGAGTACCTACTGTGTCCTGGCACTCTGCTTGGCTCTGAGAAGTCAACAGTGAATAAGACAGACTCTTTCTCTTTCCTCATGAAGCTTCTAAGTCTCTGTGCAGTCTCACAAGGCCATATGTGAGGGAATTTTGCACTGCTATTTTCTCTACTTGGAATGCTCTATCTTTGCATGCTGACTTCTTTGTTCAAATGTCACCATGTCGGAGAGTCAGCTTTTCCTGTCTTATTTAATATTGTCCCTCTTTCCCAGTCACTGTCTATTATACTACCTTGGAGTTCCTACAAAGCACTTATTACTATCAGAAATGATATCATTTATGTACTTGTTTATGGTCTGCCTCTCCTTTGAGAGCAGGGACTTGCCTGATTTGATCATTACCATACCTCTAAGTGTTTGAACGGTGCCTGGCACATTTTGGGCACCTCACAAATATTTGCTGAATGGAAGAGTCAGTGACTGGATGCATGGTACTGGAGAAAGGCATTAACAAATAAGGTAATTTCAGATAGTGAAAGTGTGGGTAATCAGAGGAGGTATACGGAAGGGGAGAGTTAGGGAAGTCTGATGTCTAGTACTTTAGTACCCCTGACCTTATTCCCACACCCCCTTTATCTCTTCCGTTAACCCTTCCTCACAGTGCGTATGCCGGAAGCCCTTAATTTTTATGATCTCTTGGCCACAGGAGATACTGTTTACATCCTCAAAGTTCAAAAATCCTAACATCCTAAAATTTTGCTTGACTGATGACCTCTAACCTCATCGTTCTTAAGCTTTATTCTTTTCACTAAGGCAAAATGGCAAAATATCCACAGATTTTTCCAAGATGCAAATGGTGTGCAGATACGCTTTTTTTCTGCCTTATTTTGTGCTTAACTTATGTGTCAAAAAGCATATGACCTTGTTTCTGATAGAATTTAAAATTTTTTTATTGATATTTTTCTTCTAGTAATCTTGGAATGGATGTCTGGGATTCTGATGAAGATGTAAATCCCCCTTCTAATTCTTTGGAAGAACCTGGAGATTGGTCCCCAAATGAAGACTTTCATGGGTAAAAGTAACATGATTGTAGATGAATATTTTATGAAAGTTCAGATACATATTAATAGTGGTAGAGTAGGGGGAAAAATCCACAGGACTGGCAATCAGGAAGTCTGCATTCAAATCTTGATTCTGCCACTTATAAATTATAGGTAATATAGAGCCAGTGACATAACCTTTTTAGGCCAGTGTTGTTTAATTTATAACATAAAACATTGGACAAGATCAGTTAGCTCTTCTTAAGTTGTATTCTAAGGAATTAGGTAACTAGTATTTTATGAGGTATTATTAGTTTTACAGGAATAAAAAGTGTTAAATAAATTTTGGAAATGCAAGCTGATGTCACCATGAACACTAGCTTATTAAAAGCCCTTAGAACTCCTGAAGTAAAGAAATTTATTAAATTTTATTGGACCCAACATTTCCCTAACTTATTCAAGCACAAAACTGTTTTTTTCCCCCTGACAGAACAAGCATTAACATGATATGGGAAACTAATATTCTCCAAGCTATTTGGCAAATATTGAACTAGGTGATCTCTGTGATCCCCTCAAAGTTTAAAATGCTATGATTCTAAGTAATAATTTGTATTTATTCTACCACTATATCAGAAAGTAGATTAAGGTTATCAAATGGTACTAGAACTTCTTCTCTGACTTACATATCTACATATATATCTGTGTGTGTGTATCTTTATAAACTGATAGGAGAGAATTTAACAATTATCTTAAAATCTTTTTTTCTCTTTAAAAAAATTAGACTTCTCTGTTGTTAGCATTTTTCTCTATAAACTAATCACAGGATACACAATACTATTTTAAATCAAGAGGAATATTTGGTACTTGTATTTTTAACCTGAAATATTATGTAGCAATAAATTGAAATGCTCTGTGAACTGACTTAATACAAGCTAGACTAGACAATATTCTCCTGTTCTCCTACTTTTTCTTCTAGCTTCAAATCTCACCCCAAAACATGAAGCATTTTGCCACCTGAGTGGTACTGCTTTTTCTCTCCGCCCCCACCCGCCAAGAAGGAGTCCTTACTTGAGCAGGGCCAGGCCCTTTGTTAGTTGTTGGCTAACATCACAGGATGTGTATGAACCACATGAAGGGCTGTACAGAGCTCTTCCGCTTACCAGGGCAATTCTTGTCTGCTCTGACATAGGCTCCTACTGCATGTAATGTCTGTACCCCCATTCCAAGGAAGCATTTGTTCATCTTCAATGAATAAAATCCTTGTGAAAGTCTCTCAGAATTTGGTGCCAGAAGTTTTGTTTTCAGACATTGAGGGGTTTCATTGTTTATTTTTGTTTAGGTTATGTTTTGTTTTTATGAAACTTTCCTTGTTGCTAGGAAACAAAGTTCTAGCTTTGTAGTCAATTATAGTATCTCATCTTGGTTTTTAAATAGTTATTTCTATTCTACATGCTGTCTGTTCCTCTTTTCAACTCTTTCAAATTGGTGTGTTTTTTATGTTATAGAAGTTTGGCAGTTCCTTATGAAACTAAAAATGGATTTAGCATACAACCCAGCATTTGCACTCGAGCATTTATCCCAGAGAACTGAAAACTTGCTCACACAGAAGTAACATGAATGCTCATAGCAGCTTTATTTATAAAAGTAAAAAACTGGAAGTAGGCAAAATGTATTATTTATACCACATTATTTTATATTATAAACTCCATTAATAGTTTTTAGGAGTAATTACATAAAAATCAATATATGTTTTTTACTTCTTCTGACATGAAGTCAGTACAGTAATCCAGCATGTCATCAGCCATATTTGTAAGATTACTTGTTTAACCCTTCAGACAGATTATGATAAAAGTGATCTGGTTATAACATTCCTCTAAATGAAAAGGTGCTGTGAAATGAGTTGTGCTCTAGTTTTTAGGGGAAAAAATTACTCTTTAGTACCAACACACTTTTGTTTGGAAATTTACAAGTTAATAGTTGCAGGAGAGAGTTTGGGGCTCATAAGCACAAACAAAGGAGAAAAATGAAAATGTGGCACAATTCAGTTCAGGGGACATCACAACAATTTATGTCCTGTTGAACTGAACAAAGGGAGATTTTGCTAATGGCGTAGCATTTTATCCTTTATTGTTCAAATACTTAGGATTTATAGCATATTTTCCCCCCAGCAGGACTGGGAAAAGGTCAAGGCTTCTTAATGACCAGCACCTTCGAAATGATGTACAGATAAAGGATTATGATTATGTCAACAATGGACCTGCCCAGAAGCATGGGGATTTTTATAAACACCAGTGTAGTGACAGCATGCCAGAAAAGAGACACCTGAGAAATTGGGATTTGGGTAACAAAGGACCAGGACCAAGATGTTCATTCTTTGCTAATCACCAGTGTTATGATGTCTTCCAAGAGGAAACTGATTTCAGTAACAAGATACATGGAACAAGACCAAGACCATTTCATGATCACCAGCCTCACAGTGACTGGCATGAAGCAGATGCTGGAGATGATTTTGATTTTGTTAGCAAAGTTGGTGGACAAAGGAGACATTCCATTCAGAGATATCAGGCCTATAGTAACTGTTGGGAACCATTTCCATCAAAAGATTTTGGTTTTATTAACAGAAGCTGGGGACAAAAACGACGACCTTTCTATAACCACCGTGAGTACCCACTTCATGGTGATTTTCAGGACCAGTTACTTGTACAAAGTTCTCATTTTCTCAACAGAAGTGGTGGTTTTCAAAGGCAAAAACCTTCCCACCAGGACTATTTTCATGATGAAATGAATTTGGAAGATTTAGAATATACTGATGAAGTATCAGCGCACACACGAGGATCTCTACATGATCATTCCAACAATGATTTCTCAGAGAAAATGTCATTGAAAAAATATGTTAATAGAGGTCATGGACAAAGACTACCACCTTTTCCAAAGTTTCAGAAACAAAGGCAGTTAAGTAATTTTGATTTCAACAGTGGAACAGGACCATGGCAAATATCTTCCTGTAATCACCCACCTCATGATCCACAAGAACAGATTCTATTGGAAGACTTGGATTTTGAACAGGAAACATCCTTGCAAAGGCCACGATCTTTTCAGGACTCCCCACTTCCTAATAACATAAATCCTGATTGGCATTTAGATAAGTGAGTCATTTTATTTTGCACAGTAAGGAACAGTACTTTTTACTCCAACAAAACACTCAGACTTCTTTCAAATTAGGTATTTGTATAAAAGTGGTATAAATTGTCACCCAAAGCTAAAATTCAGATTTATTCTTTTATATTTCCCAAGATTGCAGTAAATATACAAATTAGATTTAAATGGTTTAACCCTTCACTGTAAGCTGGTAGTAAAAAAACAGATTTTTCACAGAAATACCATGACTTTTAGATGAGGATTTTTAAACATGGGTTTAAACTGTGTGGGTTCACTTATATGTGGATGTTTTTTATAGTATAATACTGTAAATGTATTTTCTCTTACGATTTTGAATAACATTTTCTTTTCTCTAGCTTATCGTAAGAACACAGTATATAACACATATAGCATAAGACCACATGTTAATCAACTGTTTATGTTACCAGTAAGGCTTCTGGTAAACAGTAGGCTGTTAGTAGTTAAGTTTTGGGGAAGTCAAAAGTTACACGTGCATTTTCGACTACACAGGGATCAGCGCCCCTAACCTCCAGATTGTTCAGGGGTCAACTGTATTCCTTTTAGATGTGCTACAAATTATTTTTTCTTTAATTTTAATTCTAGTATGGTTAACATACAGTGTTAAATTAGTTTCAGGTGTACAATAAAGTGATTCAGCAATTCTCTGTATTACTCAGTATATTACCCTCACCACTGTGAGGCTGGTGATCATAAAATGGTCTCGGTCTTGTTCCATGTATCTTGTTATTGAAATCTGTTTCCTCTTGTAATATACTGAGTAATATACAGGAATATACAATATACAGGAATATATAATTCTGTATATTCCTGTATATTACCCTTAACCTGCTCATCAGGTTTAAGTTTAGTACTTTTAATCCCCGTCACCGATTTCACCCGTACCCTACCCACCTCCCCTCTGGTAACCATCAGTTTGTTCTGTTTTTTGGTTTGTCTTTGTTTGCTACAAAGTATTTTTTCATATACACGCACCAGTAGTCCTCTCTCTGCCACGCAGTAATCATTTCTTGGTGCCGTTAGATGGGAGCGTCGTCAGGAGAGCAGGGAGCACAGTGACCCTGAAGCGCAAGGCAGGAAGGAGAGATGGGGAGCCTGACATCCAAAAGGGAAAGAACAAGATAAGAAAGCGAGAAAAGGGGATAGAAATAAAAAGCCAAGTCAGGAAAAGAGAGCAGTGTGCTGGGATGGGGAATAAGGCCGTAGAAAAGGGGAAAGGTTTGAGAAAGGAGATGAAGACTAGAAAATTATGTGCCTGCCCTTTCAATTCAGAATGTTTCCTCCAATTGTACAACATTATTCTACATGTACCTGGAGAGATGTGAATTTCCACCTGTGGGCTATGGGCTATCCTGGTTTTCTTTAGAAATTTTTCTTTTTTTCTCTCCTGCCTTCCTCACTTTCCTCACGTCACAGAGCCTGAGGAAATGCTGATTTAGCCGCGAAACCATCCTTTTCAGTCCTATCCCTGATTGCTACCAGTGATATGTAAACACGTTAGAAAACATGCATTTCATGAAGCCACATGTATGCAGGGTTTATATACCACCTCTGCACATCCTGGCCACTGCCTCTGGAAATGACTGTCACTGTCTCCCTTGTGGTTTGGGAGTTGCAAAACCAGTTAATCAGTTCATCTGCACGGTTACCAGTGACTACCAGCTAAGCTAAAAATTTGTTTCATTTCCTTTATAATAACTTTGCTCTATTCCATGATTATCAGTCTATACCTAACCCCAGCCCACTGTCTTCCACTGGACAAGATAAAAGACAAGATTGGTCAATAGAAATCTCTCACTCCCCTTAGGACAGCTTCTCTAATACTGATGATGGGTTAGGAGGATTATAGTATTCAAAAGAGGGAATGTAAAAGAAAAGGCCTTTGTTAGGCTTACTTTTTTTTCCCATCTTGTCACTTAGTACCAAAGTTGGGGTCAGGATTATAAGCATCCTCTGTGAAAGAATATAAGTTTCAGTATAAAAGGATATTCCATACTGATTTATGTTAAACTACTCAACAGAAATCCAATTGGAGTTTTTGTTTTAAATTACGTAGTTTTTCTTAGTTTCCTAACTTCTTCAGCTGTTAACAGGATTAAAATGGCTCGAAGGTATTCTGATCAAATGGAGAGACCTAAAGGGAAAATTGAGATAGACCAAAAGAGACCTTGATTTGAGGGGAAAAGGGGCAGATGACAGCCAAGACAAGATTCCACCTGCCCTCTTCTTTCCACTTACCCACTACTGAGAGGCCCAAGTATAACATAGTATATTAGCAACTTGGAGAAGAAGGGACTGTAGTAGGAAAAAAATAAGAGTTCTTTACAAACACTATCAAATATTTACATTAAAAATGCTGGAATTATCCCACAAATGTATATTTTAGTAGAGGTTAATTGAAAGATTTTAGGTTTAAACATATGAAAAGCGAAACAACAATTTAAAACAGGTGAGTCATTAGCTTTCAGGTTCTCAGTGTCAAAGAAATATTCTAAAAGAGACTATAAGTTACATAACCCACTGATTTGCTGCTACACCCAAATGATTCTGCTAATCTCTCTAACTTCATAATATAAAAAGGAACAGGCAAATATAGCTGCTGTGGTCCTAATTCTCTCTGCAGGGTGAAGAGGGGCCTACCTCCTTTCATGTGAGGTGCATTCTTTCATGCATTTAAGGACCGGAGCCCTCTGTTTACTTTTACCGTGTTGCATCATGCAGGGATTCTGCCCCCCTTCACCATTTGACTATTGGTACACTCACTTCTTTTAGCACAGTGTCCCCCATAAAGTTTGAATCCTGTTCTGTGATTATAATTAACACTTGTTTCTCAACACTGGCAAAGTGATGACAAGAGTTGAGTGAAGTTCTGTAATGGGCACATGGATGTGTATTATCCTACTGTTGTTTATGTTTGAAAACTAATAATAAAAAATTAAAAATAACTTTGTTATATTATTAGACTGGTATATCTAGAAGATGATCGAAGAACACATTCTTCACATGGATTTAACTGCAGGAGACAGAGCAGACTGACAACACATTCTTCACAGGAACTTCCATCTTCATGTGTATTCCAAGAACATGATTCAGTTGACTATTGTAGAGGCAGATATCCAAGAGATACGGAACAGCACAAGAGGTCATATTTTTAAGCTACTGCTTATAATTATAGTATGCCTGTCAATTGCAGAGCTGGAGAGCATTATGACTTAGCTTTAGAAAAAACTGCAAATGGTGCTGAGTAGTTCACTTTAAAAACTGCCCACCACTTATCTATATTTGCCCCCTTTGCATTATTACTGGGCCAAAAATAATTTCATAATAAGTTGTATGTCAAAAGGCAACCTATGTTATTACAAAATTAGCCATCTACATCTTTCAATTTTTTGTAAGAGTATAAATATAAGGAAACTATAATGTGGAATATATATAATTATTGCTTTTTCAGATTTATTGAAGCTCTATTTTTAGTTATATATGCTAATGATTGCATTTCTGGTTGCAAACTATAAAAATAAATAATTTCCTTATGATTTTTTTTATTCCTTTTATAAGTACTTTTTGTATGCGTATAGCAAGAGATTAGAGCTTCCACCTAGTTGGTTAAGCTACAAAATCATAGAGTTCAAAAACCCATCAGAACTAAATTTTTAAGTCAATAACTCTTTTATCCCTGGTAGTGACAGGAGAAGGAAAAATCCATCATAGATAGAATAAGAAACTACCTGAGCTTTATAGAATTTTTAGTTTCCACGTAGGCTTGCATTATGGATCACCTACCAGCTCTTTCCCATGGATTTCTACCAAAAGCACAGGGGTAATACCCTGGCAGAAGAGCTGGGAGAAATCCCTGCAAGGCCCACCAGATCGTCACTGAGTGCTAGGCAGTGGCTCCCTAAAGGTAGACAGAAATCTCAAGGCACAGAAAACTGACAAAAAAAGAAACCCTTGAGGAATGATGTGTAAGAGAAAGAGGAAGCTTTGTAAATTGCCCTTGAGCTGGCCACTGGAACAGGCTGCCAAATGACATATGGCAGTCAGGCGGAAGACGACCACTTACCTGAGAGCCAGTGGAAGGAACTCCATGGGATGCTTAAGTAATCTAGGCCTTTGATACTCAAAGTGTGCCTGGACAGCAGCACTGGCATTACCAGGCCGCCTGTTGGGAATGGGGATCCTCAGCCTCACCCCAGACCTACTGAATCATTTTTTATTAATTAATTTCTGTTTCAACAAGATTCCTAGGTGAGTTACATACACATTAAATTTTGATAAGCATGACCATTTTTTAAAAGATTTTACTTATTTGAGAGAGCGAGCGAGAGCAGGAACACAAGCAGGGGGAGTGGGAGAGGGAGAAGCAGGCTTTCCGCTGAGCAGGGAGCCCGATGCAGGGCTCAATCCCAGGACCCTGAGATCATGATCTGCGCCGAAGGCATACACTTAACCCACTGAGCCACCCGGGTGCTCTGATAAGCATGACCTTTTAAGGTAGATTCTTATCCTTAAAATTCTAATTAAATAATATGTGTGATCAAGTGCTGTGTGGTGAACTATACAGAAATTAATGCATGGTCCAAGAAGGAAACATTCAATGTAGGTAATGCAAGGAGGTATCATTGAGGACCCAGGATTTGAGCTGGTCCTGAAGAGCTGGAGGAAGATATAGGTCATGTCAAGAGATAATGAAATAAGTACACCAAAGTAGAAATAGTGGTATGGACCAGCCTTCCTGCAGTGGAGAGGGAGATTAACTAGGACTATTACCTTAGTTCCTGCTAAAACACCCCATGAGGCCAACTTTTCAGAAAGAAAGAAGTCACTTACCTTTCTCTGAGGATCTTAAGCCAGACATGGAATAGAAGGGTCTGAGGTCTAATGCAGGCCTAGGCCAAGGGCTGCAATAGCACAGGGAAGCAGCAGTTTATTCTGACCTGGAGATGTGAACAAGGCTTCACTACAGGCATTTGAGCTGAGGTAGAGTAGGGCAAAGGTGTTCTAAGTTGAGCAAATAACCTGAACAGTGTTGGGTGAAGAAGCAGTCTACCCTGTCTGGAGTGTAGGTAACATCAGAGGGGTGGAGTGGGATGAAGCCTGGAGAGAGCTTTACAGGCATGGCTCAAAACGCTTAAGTGTTGGGCACCTGGGTGGCTCAGATGGTTAAGCGTCTGCCTTCGGCTCAGGTCATGATCCCAGGGTCCTGGGATCGAGTCCTGCATCGGGCTCCCTGCTCAGCGGGGAGCCTGCTTCTCCCTCTGCTTCTCTCTCTCTCTCTCCCTCTGTCTCTCATGAATGGATAAATAAAATCTTAAAAAAAACAAACAAACTTAAATGTCTCTTGGAAAGTTTGACCTTATTTTGTAGGCAATGGAAAGCCACTGGTAATTTTAGTTAGGGGGCAATGTGATAAAGCCTGCATTTTTTTTTTAAGATTTTATTTATTTATTTGAGAGAGAGCAGAGGGAGAGGGACAAGCAGACTCTGCACTGAGCATGGAGCCTGATGCAGGGGCTCCATCTCACAACCCTGGGATCATGACCTGAGCTGAAATTAAGAATTGGATGTTTAACAGACTGGGAGCCACCCAGGTGCCCTAAAGCCTGTTTTTTATAAAGCTTATTCTGGCATTAATAGATTGGAGACAAAACCACCATTCCTGGTGGCAGGTCTTATTGGGGTGATAATGATAAGACTGGAAAGGGGAATCAAAATGAAAACTGTTGCAAAGGCAAAATACACAGGTGCTATTGATGAAGTTGATGAAGTCCTGGTTACTTGACACAGTGGTGTCGTTAAGGCAGGGCAGGTTTAAGAGGAAAAATAGAGTTTGGTTTTGGTCATTCTAAATACACAGTGTTCCCCATCTAGCTCCCAGGGTTGCCTCGCCTTTCTTCTTAGAACTTCATTATAAGGAGTGAGGCTGTTTCTTAGGTGACCATATCTCATTTGTCATTGATCCGTGTTCTCTGGTGAGCTTTGCTATTCACTATACATTCAACAGGGATATAAAAACAAAAAGTCAACTCAGGTATTGATGAGGGTGATGCCATCACTGTATCAATTTAAATTTAGACATTTATTTAAAATAAACGCAAAAGGCATAGCAATGCTTCTATCACATGTACAGTCTTAAATACCACTTTCCTAGAGAAGGTTCATGGAGATACTCCTTCCCCCATTAAAAAATCCATTCTCCCTGTGATAAAACCAAATGTACTCAGCTGTATTAGATTCATGTACAAATAAAAACTTGGGTAGTTAACTACACATTGTCCTAAACACATAAAATAATTTAAACAGATCTATGTTCTCTTAGGAAATCCAGAATAGAGAGGCTTTTTTAGAATATGAGGCTAATTTGCGAGCTGCTACAGCATCCTGATGAAGGCTGTGGAAAGAAGTTGCAGACTGATGACATCTTGGAAGTAATGACATTTTTAAAAAAGAATATTCCTTGGCAAGATAAGTGGACTGTAATTGATAGAAAACACCCTTTATGTTTTAGTTAATGAGACACTGTGGTAGGTTCAATCACTGTGCCCACTGTTTCACTCCTCTTCTGTATTAGAATGAGTCATCCATGTCCTTTGCCATATGACCTAGCCACTCCTTCCAGTATTTCTCCAACTTGCTAATTGTTGGGTTTGTTCATATGACTTATTTTGGTCAGTAGAATGTAGATGAGAGTGACAGGGGCCTGTCCTGGCCAAGGCTGTAAGAGGCATCCTGTTCCGTCTTCCTCTCTGGTGTCCTTGCCATTCGTTTTTTGTAAGAGATACAAGATACAGGAGCAGGCCTGAACCACACCTACTGCCTGAAGGAGCACTACCCAGCTGATGCAGATCCATGAACACGAAAAAGTTGATTGTGGTAAGCCACTGAAACTCTAAGGTTATTATAATAAGTTTAAAAGATAAAACTCACACAAACTGAAAAGAAATATGGTTAGTGAGCACAACTAACCATAAGCAACTGTCCTATTCTAACAAGATAGCAACTATTAGAATCTGAATCAGAGAGGGACCAGACCAGTCTGGGTGAAATTCAGCTCATCTTTCAAACTGACAATAAATGAGAATATATTTTAATAGTAATTTTAATATAACAATATGGTAATCTTTGTGAGCTATTAAGAAACATTTATTTTAATATTCAAATTTACAATTTGATTATAGAATAGAATCATCAAAATTATCTTGTATCATCTTTGAATCCAGATTGCATTTTCCAAAGGTCTTTCAGCAGGCGTCTTGGCCTGAATAACAGGCATCTCTGCCTTCACAAAAAAGGCAACAAAATCTGAGGAGTAAAGTGAAATTCAGAGCTGAGATCTTAAAGAAGAATGTCTAAGAATATTTTAACTTCATATATAATAAATAATAGCAAGATGTTACAGTATCTATAGCTGTTTTTTTTTAATTTCCCCTCAATAGAAAGACAAAATGTTGCCTGTCTTTTTAGCTTTGAATGTATTTTTAGACACGTGCTGTCCAATGTAGTAGTGACTAGTCATACATGGCTCTCCATCACTTGCAGTGTAGCTAGTCCTGATTAAGATGTGCTGTAACTGCAATATATGCAACAGCTTTCAAAACTTAATATGAAAAGCAAATATTAATAGTTTTTATGTAAACTACATGTTGAAATGATAATACCTTGGATATAGTCACTTTTTTTTAAAGACATTTTTTATTTATTTGACAGAGAGATAGCACAAGTAGGCAGAGTGGCAGGCAGAGGGAAAGGGAGAAGCAGGCCCCCAGCTGAGCAGGGAGCCTGATGCAGGGCTCGATCCCAGGACCCTGGGATCATGACCTGAGCTGAAGGCAGCCGCTTAACCGACTGAGCTACCCGGGTGCCCCAGATATAGTCACTTTCTTAAACTCTTCTTAGTTCTCTGGTTTGATTGCACCTTCTTTTACTTGTTGACTGATACAACATTAGAATGAAGTATACTTTTTTTTAAGATTTTATTTATTTGAAAGAGTGAGTGAGAGAGAGAGCGTGAGCACGAGTGGGGTGGGGTGGGGCACAGGGAGAGGGAGAAGCAGACTCCCTGCTGATCCCAGGACCCTGAGATCATGACCTGAGCCAAAGGCAGACGCTTAACCGACTAAGCCACCCAGACACCCCAGAATGAAGTACTTTTAAAAACTTTTATTTATATTACATTTTATATTTCTTATTAAGAATTGGGTAAAGTGAAAATTCTCTCTCTCTCTCTCTCACACACACACACACACAGCCTACTCAAGTAACTTCATTCTTTTGTCTACAGAAGTAACCATTTCTGATGTTTTCCCCTTATGGGTTCATAGAAAAAAGTTACCCACCTTCTAAAGGAATGGTAGAACCAAGTTTAGGTGAATGGCTGGGAAGGAATGGTAATCATTTATAACCAGTGGCCAATTCAATATTAAAATCAGTTGACAGTGACCCATTTTATTTGGCCCTTCTCATCTAGAATGGCTCAAAGCAGATTCCTGAATCTGACACAAAACCATATTTCCCTCCAAAGGAAATGAGATTAGGTTGTGCCAGCTGATCATCTCCATGAGTTGAGACTTAAAACAAGTGGAATTTGACTCCCAAATACCTTAATGGATTTTTTTTTTTGGACCCAGGCTGCAAGACAAAAATGGAATAAGAAAAGGTTTCAGTTTATTGAAGGAAACTGGTGAATTCTAATTCTAACTTCCTGAGGGGCAGTGTTTAGAAAAGACAAAACAATAAACTTGGGGCAAAAGACATGAATTTGCATATCTACTCTAACATCTGTTAGTTTGTGTGACCCTCATTCATAAAATGGAAATAGTACTTACACCCTCATGGGGTTTTATTAGAATAGAGAATGTGCATGACAGTGCTTTGTATACGTAGGCATAAGGAAGAAGGAAGCTGCCGTTGGCTCTATTTTATGACCTTTTATTTTCATTTTTATTTGATGCAGAATTGCTGTGCAGGGAGCAAGCATTATAATTAAGAAGCCAGGAATATGGGGAAATCCTTGATGAGCATCATACTCCATGTACGTTACCATAGTATGTGAACAGAATATCAGTGTTGCCATGACAGCCTTTGTGGACTTAAAGCAATATTAAATCACTAAGTCCATCAGGGAACAGGTCATCTGTCTACTTCCCTCTCTCTCATGGCCTGTATTCATACAGAGTTAAGTGTGTGCTTAGAAGTTACAAGGAGACAGTCTAGTATATTTGGGAAAGAAAATAATGGTTAAGTGCGTTGCAGGCTTTCAGGTCAGCGACTTGGGCAAGTGAATTAACCTCTCTGAGCCTCAGTTTCTGGTTCTATGAAGTGGGAAGACTGTTGTGAGGATTAAATGAGAAAATGAATGTAATGCACTTGAGCACAGAGCATGGGACACAACAAATGCTCAATAAATACTAAGTGTAACAATATAACCACTAGCACTAGCAGAAAGAGTTTAAACATGTTCAAACTTGGCTTTGGGTTCCTAATCCAAGTACAACAAGTTCAACTGTGAGTAGCAGAAAAGAAAAACTTCCTGCCCACAGCTTTATAAGCTTGTATTCACCTTGATATTGTAAAAAATGACTTGGTTATTCAAGAGTGTTAGGACATTTGGCTTCCAGTTCGTGGGAAAGCTTTTCTTTCCTCACCCCAGTCCCACCCTACGTCAATCAGCTCGGCAGTCTGTCCCCAGATCCAGAGATGGGGAGCTTGGGACAACTTTGGAGTGACACATCACCACTCCACCTGCTCACAGCAATCATTAAAGGAAGAAAGTATAGGGTCTCTTCATGTTTCTGTGACAAGGTCCATAGCTGCTGCTTCTCCCACCAAATAGTCCATGGAATAAGTAAATAGAGCCCATACTTGTGCGACAGGGGTGGCAAGCACACTTTCAGATCTGGTTCCTGGCACACTTTGATGAGCAAATACCATGACAGTGGAAAGGCGTGTTGCAGCTCTCCCACTACATTAAACCCTGGGACAAAAAGATATGGCATGGCTTTAAAACTCAAGGGGCATCTTTGCAGTACAACTGATGAGCATATTTGGCTGTTAACTGGAAGTTTGGTGGTTTGAAACTACCCAGGGATGGTCTTGCCTCCAGCTAATTTCTTGGTGGGGAAAATATTCCAGAATTAGACGGTCGTGATGGTTGCACAACACTGCGAAGATGCGAAAGGTGGCTGAATTGTACACATTAAAATGGTGGACTTTATGTTATATATGTATGACTACAATAAAAATAAAACCCCAATAGATGCACTGAAGGATGCATTTTCCAAACTCTTCATTGTAATTGTATTTTTCTTCCTGACATGTATACCTACCATGTAGTATGCCCTGATAGCTGAATGCCTATATGTTACATTAGCTTTAAAAAAAAAAATCTCTGGTCTGAGGGGGCGGGGTGTCCCACTCCATAGCATTTTGGCACCACTGAGGAATATATAACTAATCCACATCCCTGTTTTGGATTGGATTGAGTATCGTATAAACGATACAAGCACATAAGTTCCCTTGCAAGACTCTTTGGCCCTAGCACATATTTGTCTAGTCTAGAAAATACTCCTGTGCAAACAGCAGGATGGGAATGAGATGTGTGTCTGCCTTCTCCAAAGGCATTGTATGGCATTCTTAATAAATGGGCAATAGGAGAAAGAAAGGGTCTAAGTACAACTGAACCAGTTCCTGAGATCTTTTAGCCAGCACAACTTGCCAGTGCAGGACTCAGGACTCTGAGTTCTTCGGGACAAAGTCATGGTTGTTTTTTTATAAAGCAGAGATCATGAAAAGTAACAGGTCTTTAAGACCTACACAAGCACAGAGTACAAAAGAGAAAAGGGGAGTTGAGGACTCACAAAAGAGACGATGTCTTCTGGGTAGTCCTTGAGGCAGAAGGTGGTGAATACCTTCCATGGAAAGGCTTCAGCAAAAGCCATGGAAGCTTCATGCTGGTCAAGACTGGCCTTGGTGAGCAAGGAAGGATGATCTTGTACACCACTGTGGAGGAAAGTGCTCCATGGGCAAGTTTTTTTCTCACTCTAGCCAGCAGATTTCAGCTGCTCCTGCTATACCATGTCTTTCCAGAAATATGAAGGCTTGTGAAAGATAAACAAACCAACAATGGCCACTGCAACCAGGATCAGGGAGAAGAGGACCATGAGGAAGACATAGGTGGAGTGGGAGAGAGGTGTGGACAACGGCTGCTCAGCTGGGATCATGTTGGTCAGGTTCAGCATGTAGCCCAGAGTCCACCCGACATTGCTGCTCTGGATCTGCAAACAGTGGGGAGAGGCTGTTGTTTCTGGTTTGAAGATGAAATGAGCTTTCATGCAATCGCATCCATAACACTGAGCAACAGGAGGTGGAGAGCACCACGTTCAGTTCTCTAACTGCATTACTTCTACATTCTAAGCTGGGAATATGGTTGTGGGGAAAATGGAGCCCAAGCGAGTGATGAGGCAGAGTTTGGAGTCTCACTGCTCTATTCCTGAAATTCAGAGGAATTTGGTAAATAACTGCCCAAGTCTCCTGCCTCTGCCTAGTAGAACTTACTTCGAACAGCCTTTGGAGATTTGCATTCCTCTTTGGTTGTTAGAGTAAATGTGGAGGGAAAAGTGTAGAAGGCAGGGTGGTGACAGAAAGCAGGCAAAGGATAAGAGAATAATGATTGTCCCTGGTCTCTTACGTCTACATCAGGCCCAGGAATCTCATCCTTATGTAACCAGGATGTCTTTATGATTCAATGAGGGAAGACTGGGAAATAATCCCAGCAAGTCAGTGTTATGTTATGGAAGTTGGAAGACTGTACACATGTTTGAGAAAGGATTCTTCCTAAATGATAAGACATGCTCTGGCCCTGCCATCTTCCTAGGAGTATTTTCCAGTCACCTCCAAACATATTAGAATGTAGATAGTCTGTGAATAATAAATAATTTTGAAAATGTTTTTATTACATGAGTTGTGCATGGTCATGGTAGAAAAATCAGGACATACAGATAATCCTCAAAAAGAAAATAAAAACCAGCTACATTTCGCCACTCGGACAGAAGTCACTGCTATTATCTTCTTGTGACACATCCTTCCAGTCTTCTCTGTGCACGTTATATGTAGGATTATTCACTTAACAATACCTCTCTAAACATCAACCCCTGTCTCAAAAGATCATCACTGCATGAACTGCCTTCTATGTTTACTTTTACTCACTTTATCCAATTATTTATAAATCCTAGGAATGAAGTAACTGGATAAAATGACATTCATATTCTAAGGCTTTTAGCATATATTGCCAAAACAGTCTCCAAAGATTGTGCCATTTGACATTCCAACCAGTTTCTGTGTGGAAATGCCCCTCTCCCTTTAACCCTTACCAGGACCGGGAATTAATAATTTGTGAAAGGTCCGCTTCCCTTTAGAGGGGGCAGGAACCTTATCTGACGGCTTGTATCAAGGAAAGCTCCAGAGTTAGAGGAGTTACCACCTATGGTTTAGAAATACTAGATCATTCACTGAAGTCCAAAGAATGTAAATCACTCGCAAATTTGACATAGACATATCCTTCAGAGAAAAAAAAATTGTGATGAGAGGAAGACTAAGGATTAAATCAAGGAAAAGATTAGTATTTGGATTAGCAGTCAAGATCAACAAGAGTGTAATGAAAATAGTATCCTTTAGGCTGCTACAGCCCTCTGCCTCAATATTTTGCTTTGCTTGAAGTCACCATATTTAATAAAGGGAGTTAATTGTTTTTGCCATTAGTGGGTATGGGTTTAAAAGGCAGAGAAGCACTGCTCTGGATACTTTTCAAGCAGTAGTTGCTCATCAGTCAATGTAAATGTTTCTCTACGCCTGGATGCCTGCAGGTGGCGCTATGGCAAAGCACCGCGGTGAGGTTGCTTGCGTAAGGCTCCCGCTAAACCTGACTTCTAAGCAAAGACCCCCACTCACAGTCAGTCATCTCCTTTATGCTAAGCGTGCAGATTAGTGAACCTTGACGCTACAACCAACAAGGCCGTCAGCCCTTATGAGAAGCCATAATAATCAGTTCCAGATCATGGAAGGGGCCTTTGGGATGGATGTTGAAGTCAGCGAACAGAATCATTGAGGCTACTGAAATACGGTTACGTTTAATATTTCACTGTTTCATAAGGAACTAGTCACTGTTACATGAGCAGAAAGGCGAGGCTGAGAAGGCAGGTAGCTCTCCTTCGACAGGATATCCTCAACATAGGAAGGCTTGACACAAAATATCTGCTTGGGTTAGAGGTGAAATGGTAGAACAGGACATCAGGCTGACTCCTACCTCTTTCAAGCCCAAAGCTGCCTCCGTCACCCCATCTCCCCACAACCCGACAAGTACCCAAATTACCTTGCCCATGAAATGAATATTCTTCCAGGAATCAGCTGTGAAATGATAGCCACTCAGAAGGAGAGTTAGGATGTAGGCTCCGGAAAAGCAGTATTCACTCAGGTACTTCTCCTTCACGTCACCAAAAGAGGTCTTCAGCTGGAAGGGAGGGGAAGGAAATCTCACTCGTGTAAACGGGCACCTCCTCACGGCCCTCTTCGCCATTAGAGCTGATCAAGACAAGGGAAGGCCCAGCTCACCCAGGCGCGAGCGTGGGCTTCTCCAGAGAGCCCTGGCAGTGGGGCTGCACTCCTTCAGTGGGGACAGGGCTATAGTTTAGGGTCTGTTAAGGAAACTTTTCCTCCACTGGGTTCTGTGGGATCTTAAGTGCTCCAGGAAAACAGTGGTTTCCGTGACCTAGTAGTTTCCGAAACACGGACTTGCAGGATACCACTTCACCCCTTCTGAAACTTCCGTTTCACAATCACATTAGCATTTTAAAAACTGAAAAATCTTGCATGAAAGAAATCCATCAGTCTGTTTAATAGACTTTTCTATGTTCTCTTTTTAAGATTTTATTTATTTGTCAGAGAGACAGAGCGCGCGCACAAGTAGGCAGAGCGGCAGGCAGAGGGAGAGGGAGAAGCAGGCTCCCCGCTGAGCAGGGAGCCCGACGTGGGGCTCGATCCCAGGACCTGAGCTGAAGGCAGACACTTAACAACTGAGCCACCCAGGTGCCCCTGACTTTTCTGTGTTCTTGACCAGAGTCTGAGTTCAGAGCCTCTGAAGGAACTAGTGCATCTGACGCATGTTAAGGAAAGAGTGTCATAAAAAGCCTTGCCACTCCTGGGACACCTGGGTGGCTCAGTCGTTAAGTGTCTGCCTTCGGCTCACATCATGATCCCAGGGTCCTGGGATGGAGCCCCACATGGGGCTCCCTGCTCAGCGGGGAGTCTGCTTCTCCCTCTCCCTCTGCCCCTACCTCCACTCATGCTCTTTCTGTCTCAAATAAATAAAATCTTAAAAAAAAAAAAAAAAAGCCTTGCACTCAGGTTAGCACCTGGGCTAGCAGCGTCGGGGTGTCCCAGGAGCTTGTTAGTCCTCACTCCAGAACTACCAATGCAGAATGTGCTGTTTAATGCGATCCCCAGGTGATCACATGCCCAGTAATGTTTGAGAAACTCTACAACACAGTTTAGGATGCACTTTGCTCAGGACTGCTAACAGTGCCAACATCTCACCTTCTGCCCTCAGCCCTTACCTGACCTCTTTTTTTGCTTATGAGTCATGCAAAGGGGTCTTCTTGAGTCCTTCGTGTGTTTGCTCATCCTACTCCCAAACGAAAGCTGCCTGTTGACCCTTACCTCTCCTCCTGTTTAAATATATGCCCAGATGCCCACAGCTTGCTCTGCTCCTCTCTGAACCTCAGTAAGAGAACAACAGGCCAGAACATCTCTAGCTCAGCCCAGAGCTGTCTGCTGCCCTATTCCTCAGCCCTTGAAACAGGTATTCCCTCCTGGGCACCCTGGGCAGAGAGAGAACTAACATTTGTTAAGCATGTATCAAGGACTAAGAATCAGGCCAGATGTCTTATATGTAGGACCTCCTGGCTACCTGCCCACCCACACCACTACCTCACTTTTGCCCAGATTTCGCTCTCTTCCCAAGAAACACCCCATCTCTAAATGCCCTGCCGGCTGGGGTCAGTTTCTCACTTGGTTTCTGCCAGCTCCCAATCTCTGGAAGGCTAAGTCCATACCTAGCCTGCCTTGGCCTGCTCTGATGGAATTCTCTGAATGACCCAACCTGGAACTTGTCTTTTTCTCACAGTCCTAGAAACTACTCTTTGATCAACTCCTCTGCATGGGACATTTTCCCAAGACCTCGGTGTAACATCAGTGCTTATCCAGATCCTACCCCCTTCTTACAGTAACTGCGCTCTTTTTTTCCTTCATGGAAAGACTTCTCCTCCTATTTGATGTAGTCTCAGCAGGCCCATCAAACAAAAAACCACTATGAAAGTCCAAGAATCCACTCGGGCCAGACTTGAAACTGCTGCAACCCACAGGTCCTTAAAAGCTGGCCTATCCCTTGGGGGAATGCCGTTTTGGTCTAATTTTTCTGAATTCTACAAAGTCCTACCCCCTCCTCTTCCTGGAAAGGTGTACATTGCCAAGCAGTCTAATCTGCTGAGGATTAATTATGATAATAGCCAAAAAATATGGAAGCCAAAGGCATCTACCTGGTTCATCAGTCCAGATCTGATCATCTTAATGCTTTGTGGACTCAACACTATGTTCTCTCCATATGGGGGGATGGTTTGCCTTTCTCTCTCATACTCCTCTCTCTGCGTCTCTCTCCTCTCTCCCTTCTATTCCCAGGGCAGTGGGACAGTACTGGCTTCTCTCCTCCTCGTCCATTGCCCCTTACCACTCCCCCATATGAAGGGGCATCGCAAGTCTTCAAGAACGGGATGCATTTCCCTAGAAAGGGTAAAAGTCCATGAGGTTGAATGTCAGGACCCAGAATACATAGAGAAACCCTAGTTAGTAGTATACACAGAATCTTACAGCATTGTAGGCTGACCAGAGATCTTGAGCGAACATATTTTCTGAGTGGAAAAGTGATTATTCTGGTTGTCAAAATTAGAGGGTTACCAACCCTCTAATTAACCTATTAGAAGACAAGCGTGAAATGTCCCTTTCACCCACTTTATTAACCTCTCCTCCTCAGGGATCCAAGGACTGGGGGCCCCCGCAAGGATTTGGAGGACATCAGTAGGTGTAGTTTGCATTTTATTTCTCCCGCCAAAGCAGGGGCAGGCAGCACGATATAGTATGTACAAAGCTTCTAGCTCACTTTTCAGCACATAATATGTGCCTAAAAATTGTCAGTTCTCTCTTGGCCAAAGGTGTCTAGACAGGACACTCCCAAACTCCAGTCACACAGGCGTAGCAGGAAAAGAGTTGCCCTGTAAGAGCGTACTTGAAACCTATGCATTCCACCTGGACAGACAATGAAGTTGGGGAAAATGAACCCTGGGTCATAACACCCACCTCAACATCAAGGCTGTGGGTGAGGGTCTAGGTCTCACCCTGCAACTCCCCCCATCCCCTGCCAAAAATTTCAGAATTTCTCCCAGGTGCAGGCCCTAATGAGTCTACTTCCAGGACCCGTACAGGTCTGCATATAGGCACTGCCAACCTAGGGTAACCTGATGAAATTAAAACAAAACAAAAAAACAGACAAGGGTAAGAAAACAAAATGTGATAGAGCTTTCACTCTGAACAAGAAGTAATTTTTTTCCAGGGGCACCTGAGTGGCTCAGTGAGTGAAGTGTCCGACTCTTGATTTCAGCTCAGGCCTTAATCTCAGGGTCATGGGTTTGGGCCCTGCATTGGGCTCCACACTGGGCGTGAAACTTACTTAGAAAAAAAGAAAGAAATAATTTTTTCCAAAAAGCAGCTTAAATCTACCTCCTTCACAGGCATACACTGAGGTTGTTTCAAGTTGCCTCGACTCCAAGATGCTCACCTTCGTCCATAGATCACTACCAGCTGCAAAAAGCCTCCCTCGAGTGTTTTGCAAACTGTCAAGTGCTATGGCATTTCGAGGGGCTCTTTTGGAAAGTCCTGAATCTTCTTCCTTCCCATTTTAACTCAGACAAAATACGGAGGGAGAAGTCCACGCCTCTGGCTCTTGCACAACCTTCCTTCCTCTGTCAGCACCAAGGAGACTGCATCCATTTCTAGTTAATTACACCTCCTCAGAATGAAAATACCACTCATGTGGACAACGCTGTCAACTTAAAACAGCTGCCGTTGGGAGGCACCCTAGCTGATCTATTTTGATTAGGGTAGACCCCATACCTCTCTCCTCCCTGGAAACTTCCATCAGGTAGTACTCGATCTTGAATGACTCAGTGCCTCAGACAAGAAACAGTTGTGCTTCAAATTTATGAACAAGTAGGAAGTACTTGGGACCTAGGCGGGGAGAAAGGGTCTTACCACAGTGGTGTTTAGAGCGGACTCTGAACTGCCAGTCTTCCTTGCTAATAAAACTCTGATTTGGGACGTGGGGAGAGGAATGTGCAACAATGTACCCAGCTCCAGAGAGTAGCTCAGGCTGGATCTAAGGCTCTAACCAGTCCTAAAATCCTGCTTTCCCAGCCAGTCCCGGCTAATGAGACGTAAGAGAAAGACTGCTATGGAGCTTCTGGGGTAGCTTCTGCTTTCTTGTTAAATGGAACAGATGTATCTGGCTCTGCCCTTCTTCTGACCTGGAACGTAAGTGATCTCTGAAGCCACATCTTGTGTCCGTGAAGAAAACAGGCCTAACGACAGAATTGAAGAAGGAATGGTTGAGACAGAGTCAAGCTGCTAACCTCCCACGAGTGCCACGGGCTGCCAGGCTCGGTGTCAGGTGAGAAAAGTAAGACCGTGTTGGCTTCAGCCGGTGTATGCCCACTTATCAAGAAAGGCCCATGGGCTCACTCCGGACTGAGTGCACCCTCTGGGCTCCTCTACCCTGTTTGCGGGATCTCTGTCCGGGTCGCAGGACTTGACGAGCAGACTCCCATCCTCTGTGCCGTCAAGGGCATAGCTGCTCTTTCTCATCACTTACCTCCTCCCAAGGCTGAGAGCAGAACTTTTTCATAGTCTCTGTCATCTTTTCCTGCGAGGGGGTTTCCTCTGAGGTAAAGTTTAAAAATTCCATCACATAGTAATAAGCCGAAAATGCCTGCAAGAGAAAATGCAGTTTTGCACTGTGTCCAACACAGAGGGACACTGACTCACTCTCCAGAAGGCTGAACCCCTGGTGAAGGTGCCTTGGAAAGCTCTGTTGAGTGAATTAATGAACCAAGTAATATTCCAGACCCAAAAGTTGTTTCTTTCCTGGAAGAGGTGTCACTTTGTTGCTGTTGCTTTACTGCTGACATGCATTTCTGAGCCACCTGGTAACTAACTGTCTCTATAATTTTAATGGAAGAGTCAGGGAGGAAAAAAAATGAGGGGGGAGAAAAAAGAAAGAGGTTTAAAAAAATCCCATCTTTAAAAAACTGTGTATTATATGTGAGCTTTTATAAATAAAAACTGGGAACTTCTATGCAGAGATATTAAGAGTTATCTCTGAATGGCAATTATAAGGCGTTTTCCTTTTTAGTTCTGCTTTTTTGGCTTATTTTCTAGAATGTCCATGCACTGCTTTCTTTAAATATTAGTCAATCTTTATTTAACAAATATTTATTGAAGTCCATCATGAACTAAGAACAACTGAAATGTTTTTAAAAATCATTATTATGACCATACATGAGTACTATGGAAAAGGGTACAAATGAGTAAAAAGGAAAATAGTCAATTAAAATTCACAGGATAGGTGCTTGGAAGCGTTTTCGACAATACTGAGTTCCATGTCTTCACTTTCCACTCATTTTTCTCACCCTTCAGTTGAACTTTGTGCCCCTCCTCCACTAACCTACCCACTCCAACGGCCACTTAGAAACAACGTGGATCAGGTTACTCCTCTACTTAAAAGCTTCGATGACTCCTAATTATACGTAGCAGCGTAAGTCCAAACTCTACCAGGTCTCTCAAAGCCAGGCGTGCTCCAACCCTTCCCACCTTGCTAATCCCATCTCCTACCCCCGCCACCTGCACACGCCCACCCCCCAGGCCTTCGGTCACTGCCAAGGTTTGCTTCCCCAGGGGGGCACACCTGCTCTCCCCGCTGGTGCAATTCCCTTCACGTTGACTCAGAGAGGTTCTCTAATCATGCCCCTGGACCAGGACGCTGTCTTATTCCCTTTCACGGGACCCTGCTGCTTTCTTCCCTGCGGTTGCCACAGTCTAATTTGCTTTTGTTTGTGTTTCCGGTCTTCTGTCTGCTTGCCTTCTAGAATGCCAGCTCCACAATGGCAGGGACCACCGCTGCCTTGTTCTCGGCTGAATCTGCTGCACCGGCAAGGCACTTGGCACGTGGGGGAGCGCGACAGACGTGTAAGTGGCAGAAAACCGCTCTCTCTCAAATTCCTAGAGCGCAGCCTCGAAAGTAAGAGACGCTGGGTGGATCTTTGTTGACTGAGAAACTGGATAGATCCAGAGACTGGATAGCTCCAGTATGCATAGCTAATGCCCAGAAATGTTCCCCTCTATCAATTAAAACCACTCAGAGCATTTTCCTCTACTGAACTGACTGTGGGCCTGGAGGGAGAGGAGGACTTTTTAGGGTGTACTTTTAATTTTGTTGACATTGTTGTGTAAGAGCTTTTAACAGGAGATCTACCTTCTTAACAAATTTTTAAATGTACAATTCAGTATTGTTAACTATAAGAACAATGTTGTACAGCAGATCTCTAGAACTGAATCATCTTGAATAACTGAAACTTTACACCTATTAATTAGCAACGCCCCATTCCTCCTCTCCTCGGCCACCATTCTATTCACTGAACACATGGGGTGTCTTTGCATTTGTCTTTAATTTCTTTCATCGCTGTTTTGTAGTTTTCAGTGTACAAGTCTTTCTCCTCCTTAGTTAAGGTTATTAGTAAGTATTTTATTCCTTTTGAGGTTATTGTAAATGAGATTGTTCTCCTAGTTTCCTTTTCAGATAGTTCATTGTTAATGTATAGAAATGCAACTGATTTTTGGATGCTGATTTTGTACCCTGCAACTTTACTAAATTCATTTATTAGTTCTAACAACTTTCTTCTTTTTTTTTAATTGAAGTATAGTTGACACAATTTTACATCAGTTGCAGGTGTACAACAGTGATTCAGTGCGTCTGTACATTACGTTAGGCCCACCGCAAGTGTAGCTCCCATCCATCACCATACAACACTATCACAATACCATTGACTATATTCCCTATGCTGTACCATAACTAGAGGCCTCTATCTCCCACTCTCCTTCACCCATTTTGTGAAGGCAACCACCAAGTTTGTTCTCTGTATTTATAAGCCTAACAGGTAGGTTTCTTTTGCTGTGTGTGTAGACTTCAGGGTTTTCGTTACGTACAAGTCTTGTCATCTGTAAACAGAGACAATTTTACCTTTCTTTCTTTCTGATGTGGATCCCTTTTATTTCTCCGTGCCTAATTGCTCTGGTGAGTTCTTCCAGTACTATGCTGCATAAAAGTGGTGAGAGTGGGCATCCCTGCCTGGGTCTTGATCTCAGAGGAAAAGCTTACAGTTCTCACCACTGAGTACGATGGTAGCTGTGTGGTTTTTATATACGGCTTTTATTGTGTTGATGCAATTTCTTTCTATTTCTACTTTGTTGAAACTTATTATCATAAATGAGTGTTCAATTTTTTCAAATGCTTTTTCTGCATCTATTGAGATGTGTGGTTTTCATCCTTCCTGTTAATATGGTGTATCACACTAATTGATTTTGTATGTGGAGCCATCATTGCATCCCAGGGATAAATCCCACTTAGTCATGGTATATTATCCTTTTAATGGACTGTTGAATTCACCTTGCCAGTCTTTTATTTTGGTTGTTCCAAAGTGTGTTCTTTCATTTCCACATACCTGTGGATTTTCCAGTCTCCTTCTGCTATTGATTTCTAGTTTCATTCTACTGTGGTTAGAAAAGATACCTAATGGGGTGCCTGGGTGGCTCAGTTGTTAAGTGTCTGCCTTCAGCTCGGGTCATGATCCCAGGGTCCTGGGATTGAGGCCCGCATCGGGCTCTCTGCTCAGTGGGAGGCCTGCTTCTCCCTCTCCCACTCCCTCTGCTTGTGTTCCCTCTCTTGGTGTGTCTCTGTCAAATAAATAAATAAAATCTTAAAAAAAAAAAAAGAAAAAGAAAAGATACCTGGTATAATTTGTCGTCTTAAATTTGTTGAGACTTGTTTTATGACCTAAGATGTGATCTGTCTTAGAGAATATTCCATGTGCACTTGAGAAGAGTATATATTCTGCTGCTCTTGGGTGGAATGTTCTATATTTGTCTGTTAGATCTATATGGTCTACAGTGTGGTTCGATTCTGTGATTGTTCTATCCAGTACTGACAGTGAGGCACTGAAGTCTCCTACTATTCTGGCATTGCCATCTCTTCCTCCATCAGTCCTGTCAATGTTTGCTTCAAAGATTCAGGGGCTCTGATTTGGGGTACATATATACTTTTGATTAATGTATCTTCCTGGTAAATTAACTCTTTATCATTATATAATGTCCTTCTTGGCCTCTTGTGACAATTTATGACTTAAAGTATACTTTGTCTTATATAAATATGACCACCCTTGTTTTCTTTTGGTTGGCGCTTGCATGGAATATCTTTTCCATCACTTCCCTTTGGCCTATGTGAGTTCCTTAAATCTAAAGTGAGTTTCTTGTGGAACATATGATTGGGTCTTTAAACTTTTTGTACAGTTTGATTTTTTTATAATGAGCATGTCTTAATTTTTACAATAAATATTTCCTTAAATTGTTACATTTCAAAAGACTTTCTGATATTACTCCTAGAGCTCATTCTACTGGCAAAGGGCTTAATGAGTTAAGCACCTAGAAATTCTCTTGCTTTTGCTAAGGTGTGACATGGGCTTTTTAAAGAAATACAAATTATTTTTAAAAACATTAACAAACAGGGATGCCTGGGTGGCTCAGTCAGTTAAGCATCTGCCTTCGGCTCAGGTCATGATCTCAGGGTCCTGGGATGGAGTCCCACGTCAGGCCCCCTGCTCAGCAGGGAGCCTGCTTCTCCCTTTCCCTCTGTGATTCCTCTCAAATAAGTAAATAAAATCTTTTAAAAAAAATCAACAAAGAGAAAATTTGTGTAGGCAGATATAGCAAAATATCGAGCCTTCAGTGGGATACATAGCTTGTCAGCAGGAACTCCTGGTCTATGCTACTGCCTACCCCCATAGCCCTGCATGCCATGGACTCTTGAAAATTTTCCCCAGTGGGGCACCTGGGTGGCTCAGTTGGTTAGGCATCTGACTCTTCTTTCAAAAATGTTGGATCACTTTATAACTGTAGAAGGGAATTTCTCCCAAAAGCTTAAAATATGTTCTGTTTTCTGTGAGTCCCACAAATAGTCCATTATATGCCCCTCAAACGATGTTATTCATTTCTTCCAAAACCTGGAATCATTTCTTTCTAAACCCCTGAATCATATCTTCATCTTTACTCTTCCTAAAATTACCCCCATTTTCCTGTACTATAGGAATCTCTGAGTTTATAGATCATAAACCTCAAACAAAAGCATCTAATGATCACAAAGGTGATCTTTCAGCTTAGGGGAGAAAGCTTCTAAAATACTAGAGGCAAGTCTCCGGCCTGCCCACATGGAAAAACCCATTGAACTACTTTCGGGTCTCTGAACACACTTCATGTTTTCCCACCTCCAGGCTTCTGTGCATGCTGGACATCTCACTAGAATATTCCAAATACTGAAGTTCTTTTACTGAGAATATACAATATTCTAGGCACTCTAGCAGTAATATATCTAGCAGGCCTAAAAATGAAAAGATGACACGTACACCATCCCTGCCTTCCAGGGCCTCAGGACATAGTTGGGGAGACAGATATATCAACCTATAAAGACAATACCCATTCTTGCCAGCCAAATTTTGTGCAACTTTTAACCTACACAGAATGCAATACATGCATTCCTGTTCAATTTAACTGAGCTGGTTTCAGTGCAGCATCTATCCTCTCTCAAAATTTTGTTTCTGTGGTATCAATTGCCCACCCTCCTCCCTGTCCTCCAACTTTAGAACATCTCCCAGGGAGTTGTTT